ATTAGAGCTTTTTTACGCTTTGGAGCATTGAATGTCTATTGGTATTGTGCTGCTTAAAAACTTTAACAGGTCTGTATGTCATCACTCCACAAGGGAGATCAATGTGTAATTGGTGGTGCAGGGGACAGAGGGTTAGAATAACAGCCAGGCTCTGAGTGCGAGTCTGAGGTGGTCTTCAGAGCAGCATGAGTGATTTGAGACCTGAGTGTGCCCAGTAAACATCCCGAGTGGAACAGCAGCAGGGTTCAAATCGATTCTCATGAGAAACACTGCAGCCTCAGACCCTGCGCGTCACACGTGTGAGCTGAAGGATTCTCAGGATAGCTCAAGAACATCGAAATTCAAAAAAGATTTCCCAGGCCATTTTTAGCACAGACCTACAAGAATAGCAAGGGGGTAAGACAGGGGTTAAAGGTTGGACTGCCAAAAAAACAACCAAAAGCATGCTAAAAATAGAATTTAGGAGATTATCACAGCTTCCAGCCATACTCCAAGATGAACTGTTAGCTACTACTGAGTGTCTGTGTTCTGCCACAGGGAGAGAAAAGGAAGGAACAACTTGTTTCCTGTAAATAGAGAGAAGAAAATTACACCTATCATTGTTTCGACAACGGAAGCTGAATGCATTTTTTTTTCTTTTTCTCCTGACACCTGTCATCTCTACCTGCAGAAGAATATGTCCTAAGGGTCTTTTGGAGCCATCAAATTTATATATGGAAAGTCTCAGTGTCAGATGAAATTCTAGGCAGATGAATAGCACTCTGCTTTAAAGGAATGTGGGAAGTGTTTTAATAACTCCTCTGAACAAGTCTTTGCCCCAGCAGGGAACTTGTCCAATCTTGAAGTCGGAAATGTGTCAAAAAGGGGTTTTAACATGTACTCCTGGAGAGAAATGTCAATCCATTTTCTTTTAGGACAAAAACTGGTGAGATGGGTTTTAATAATTAACTGTCAAAAATATGCTAGAGTTAATCAAATCTTCCTAAAGCATCTCAGTCTCTTTAAGCTGTAAACTTTTACTGCACATAATGTGGACAGCTAACATGACAGTTATCTACTGAAATTCTATTTGCTTTTCATTTTCAAGAAAAGATTCAAATTTACTTTGATATCCGGCCTCATTGAACAGGCTGATAATCTTGGTGCTTCTTAGAAATTTTTCTCTTGAATTTGGTAAAGTGTTTGTTTGGTCTGATTTTTCAGGAGCAAAATAACACCTATAATTAGGAGAACATTATTTAAACATGGTAAAAATTATATTTTCCACCTTCAGACTATTTTAGAAACCAAGGTTTCTGTGTAATAAACACCCTAGATTACCTAACAGATGTTGTTCCTTAATGCACAAGCAGAATCCTAAGAGAACAAATAAAGAGAGAACAGGCACATTATGTCTTTCATAGCTTTCCACTGTGCTCAATATCAGTGACTGTTGATCACAAACGACTCATCACTTTATATTATGTGTGCAAAACATGAAATGAGTTACGAGACTGTAACGTCTGGTCTTTCACTTTAACATACAGTAGCAAAGATACAAATATCCAGTAATTCAGCTCATGGAGTGTTTTTTGTGTACTTCGAAAATGTAAAAGCCTTTTCAGGAAGCCCTACGGGAAGGAAGTGCTGTGTGCTGTCCGGGTGGAAGAGAGACGTGGAGCGAGTGGAGAGGAAGAGGCTGACACTCGCTGATGAGATTAACCACAGACACCAACAGACACCACAAATAGCATCACAGCTGAACTCATCCAGGAAGGAAGTGTCTGCATCCCCAGTTCTCAGAGCACAAGAAAAGGTGGAGCTGAATGACATGACTGCCCAGCAGCTCAGCAGAAAAAAAAAAGAGAGAGACGTTCAGATTTCAAACGCTTTCAAAAACCAGTAAATAATCTGATCACGTGTATCGATCTGAAATTAAAGATGAGTGACACTCAAAAAAAGGCATGCCTTTGCCTTTAACTGTCCTTTCACATCTCAGAAACAGCATGGGCTGCGCTTACAGCACCCCACAGCTTGGATCTCTGTATACATTATCAGAACTATTTGTTCTCTTGCTTGCTTAATTTAAATCCATTTTTATTCAAATGTGACAGAAAAGATTCAGATATTACCCATCAGCACACGATGCATTTGGAATTGAACATTTTTTCCTTAATAAAACAGAAACCTTTTGTATATATAATGATTAGGATACAACTACAAAGCCAGGATTGATAGAAGATTTTTGTGTTCATTATACTGAATAGTTATAACACTTCTGAGTACCTTTGGAAACACCTGCTATCAAGTCATGTCCTCTTAGACTTTTTTGTCTAACAGTGAATATGGCTAAAATACTGTAAATCACTACATTCAAACAATTAAACAATGTTTTTCACTGATTTATCACATACATGACCACACAATATCACATAAAAAGTTTAGTCATTAAAATAATTATCAATCACATTTAGATATGAAAATGCCATCAAATACAGATACGATGGTAACAGTATCTGTTTAATTACATAGTGTCCACATCCAAAGAGCTTGTAGATCAGTTACAGTACAGACTTCAAAGAATTAATGAAAAAGTTAATAAACACTTTATGTGAAAAGTGGAGTAGTACAGCATATACTGTTTGGTTGTTTGATTCTAGTGCATTAACAGAAAATGTCATCTCAATATAAATAAAGACAGACAAACTTTGAATCAGACACTGTTTTTGAAGGTTACAATTGTCTTCCAGAAGACATGTAAAGCTATAATTAGGAGAACATTATTTAAACATGGTAAAAATTATATTCTCCACCTTCAGACTATTTTAGAAACCAAGGTTTCTGTGTAATAAACACCCTAGATTACCTAGGGCTAAACTGACATCACAAACATGACAACAATAGATAGTTTACGTTTGGGTCAAATGGTATCAGTGTCAGCAATAATTTTCTCAATGCCAGCACCATGTCTTTTTGATAACTGTAAGGCAAAATATGGGTGTTTTACTGTGCATAGTAGTCCACCATGATTTATGGCAAGGCAATCAACAGATTAATTTTCAGATTATTAGACTAATAATAATAATTATTCCTTACAGTTATATAGCACTTTTCTGGAAACTCAAAGCACTTTACGGGTAAAAGAGACTCCCCTCCAGCACCAGTGTGCAGCTCCACCCTGGCTGATGCGCCAGTACACTCATCACACACCAGCTCTCAGTGGGGAGGAGAACAGAGTGATGAAGCCAGTTCATAGATGGGGATTATTAGGAAGCTATGATTGGTAAGGGCCAATGGGAAATTTGGCCAGGACACCGGGGTAACACCCCTACTCTTTTTGAGAAATGCTCTGAGGTTTTTAATGACCACAGAGAGTCAAGACCTCAGTTTTATGTCTCATCTGAAGGACGGCATCTTTTTACAGTATAGTGTCCCCGTCACTATACTGGGGCATTAGGACCCACACAGACCGCAGGTTGACCACACCCTACTAGCCCCTCTTAACACCTCTTCCAGCAGCTACTGTACCTCAGCTTTCCCAGGAGTCTCCCATCCAGATACTGACCAGGCTCACACCTGCTGAGCTTCAGTGGGCTTCCAGTGGTGAGTTGCAGGGTGACATGGCTGTAGGCCACATCATAAATTATTAAAGATAAGAGAAAGCAAGTGCCTTAAATATACTTAAAAACTTGAAAACACTTTGGAGATCACAAAGGCTTATTCGAATTCATGAATTCAATTTAGTGTGAAAATGTGTGGTGAAAACACTTATGAGAGGTACAGTAATCTTACAGTTTTTCAGCTCTCAGAGACGTCTGCTGTCCATGTTTAAAGACACTTCCTCATAGTTTCCGCCTGTGCCTGCTGGTTAGGGTTTTCTTGTTGTTTCTCAAGATGTCTGTTAGGCCAACTTTGTTGTTACATGTGAGGATTCTGAAGACTTCAGCTGAGTCCCTCTCAGCCATCTACAGTATGTCCAGGACTCGGGAGGCTCCGTTCTTTTAGCTTGTCAGTCTACTCTGGGACATTCCTGCCGCCCCCAGAATGTACAGATTTCTCTTCTTTCTCTTCTCTAGGCTGATGCCAGATGAGTAAAACTTTTTTTAAATATAATTTGACGACCAAGATTGCTCAAACTATTCTAAATGACACACTACAGTTGCATATGACAAATGTAAGATAATATTGCTTGTGGAATTCTATTATAATATATTATCTTGACATGATGCCTTTATTTGCTGCACATAGTTTCAGTCATGGATATGTATTCTTTACCTCCATTCCCCAGTTTTCTGCTGCAGCGTACAAATATTAGCTCAAAAACCATACTTATTTTCAGAATTGAACCATGCTAATAACGTCTGTTAATAAATGATTACCATGTATATTAAACTAATTTTTCTACACATACAGTTGTCGGCATTTCTCTACACCATAGGTTCAAAGTTAAGCTCATCTAAACCGGGTCCTGCGGTCTTAAAAATGTAAATACGTCTCCATATTGAATAAATAATACAAGGTGGGAACTGCATTAGTAAAAGCTGGACATCTCGTATGAATTCTGAAATTCGTGTCCGAGACCGTTACTGTATCTTTCTTTCTAATGGCCTCAGTAAATGCAAATTTAACCTAAGCGTTTTCACTTGTTTAACACCTTTGATTTGATCATTTCTTGAACAGAGTAATTGAACAGCATCCAACTTAATGCCAAACATGGATTAAGTCAGTTGCTTACAGTATATCTCCATTCTGCTTACAAGTACAGTATATCAGGTGGCAATGTAATAATGTGACAATATTATAAAAAGTGTATATTACTGTGTTTCACTTTATATCACCATTTCATATAACGAAAGTCCATCCATTAGTCAAGAGGAAGACTTTCTTTGCTGTAGACTTGTGTCCGCTGCCGCCCATTATAAATGATTAGCAATGCAAGGTAAGGGTTCCCCCTGCTGGTCGCAGTTGTGTAGCATCTCCCACACTAAAAAACACGTGTCTTTTCTTCTCCTATGTTTTCTTCCGGTTCGCCACTAAAGAATATGGCAACACCTTCAGTGCCCGCAGATAACATGAAGAATTTGCTACAGTTTATGAAACTCATAGGACAGCTAAAGGTAGTTAAAGGTCTAATGTCATAGCAGTTGCTACAATTCTGAATGATACAAATCGACGCTCTTTTGTGCGTTCAATAAAGTTCCTTACAGGAGGAAGGAAATGAATGGATCTGCTAGTGTGTATGGTGTCTGAGAGAGTCACAAATCAAATGAAAATTAATAACAATACAGTTGTGAACGGTACATTAAAGTACGAGTAGTAATTCTCCTGCAATGCAATGTTGATTACTTGCTAAATGCTTGTTTTTACGTATCTTTTTCTGTTGTTTCTGCACGCAATGAAGCGAACTCCTCGGACGGGCTGGGTTTACAGGAATGTGCTCAACCCGGAGAGTGTGTCCGACCACATGTACAGAATGTCTTTAATGGCCCTGACTATCGGAGACTGCAACATCAACAGAGGCAGGTAGGGTGGCCTGCCCCTTCTGTGACTGGTTTACGGCGGCTTTGAAGCACAACGATACGTTTAGTATAGCTTTAAGCTCAGAAGTCGAATGTGCATTTTCGCCTTTAACTGTAAATCACATTTTAGAATGGAATATGAAATGCTGTTTAGATTGTATAGTGTGTGTTTTCAATGATGAGTTTATCATTTGAAGTTGCTGATGAATTCCAATTCAAAATCAAAAACAGGAATACTTATACATCGTTACAAACAATACTGATTGTAATGTCTAAAACATGATTCAAACACGATTTTTAAAAACCCCGTTCTTTAAGGAGATGTTGAAGTAGTACAGTAATCTTTTATTCTTGTTTTACTAATTTTATGTAGTGTGTTATTATCTAGTTTTACTGGGGGAACTAATTCAAGAGGCTGAAGACAACTCTACTGTAGGTCTGTAGTCTGTAGAAGGGAAATAGGGTCATTTCTTTGGAATCACAGGTCATTTAATTTTGGACTTGTCTCTTCAAATTATCATGCTACCAAGTTAACCCTCCAAAGGCAGAAATACAGCAGAAAACATCTGTAGAATATATGAGCAAAATCATCTGTGATTCATGCCAGTTCAAAGGGATTATATTTAATTGAAATGTTATACTAGAAGATGTTGATTTTTAAATAATAAACCACTAGATGGAGCACTCGTTATTAATTTAAACCAAGAGTATTGCAGCCTACAGTACCTTAGCGTTTACTACATTTGGTTTATTTCCGAATGATATTTCCACCAAATAAAATCTGTTGCTTTGTTTTTTTTAATTCCTCTTCAGTGGGATCTTCTTTAAATGATCGTCCCAGAAATGTTAAATGTAACGTATGGAAATACTGCAGCTGGGAATGCTTTAGCAAGAGTGAAAAAGCATTTTCTTTAAATTATGGGACTGCAATAGGTGTTTGTAACGAGAAGAGTAATAATAATGATACTGACATTAACAAGACACTGCTATCCTAGTGCCTTAAGGGTTCAGTCTTATTTCCCACTGGTGATCATTGATATTAATACATGTATGAAAAATACAAAAATACCATATTGTGCTTATTAAACTCTTCACCCATTGTAGTTATTTCCATTATCTGTGCATTTCACCAGGTCGTATAAATACAGTTATGTCTTTAAATTCACTGTTAGTATCACAATATGAGTAATTTCAAATCTATGAGTGTCCAAAGCCCTTGCTTGTATTTAGATCCATACAGTTAAGACCACAGAAAAGCTATGAGTTAACTGCAGTGGCTTAGACGTTTTAGCAAGTGTTGTGTGGTATAATGTCTTTGACCTGCATTTATGCCCACTGTATGAATATCACAAACTTTGATACTTAATGTGTTTGACAAACAGGGGTTTAGCTGTTTAGATGTAGTCAGTGTGGAGCAGTTACAGTGCAGCTGCTTTGACCTGTAAACCCACTGTTTCAGATGTATGCAGCTGGCCTTGGTCCATGATATGGCAGAATGTATTGTTGGTGACATCGCCCCTGCAGACAAAGTCAGCAAGGAGGAGAAGCACAGAAGAGAGAAGGTAATTATATATTGCAGCTCACAACAGTGAAGGGATAACTATGCACATGCTCACATCTCGGTTACAACATATGGGAGATTGCACTGTGTAAGTGGAGTTAACGTTAAGCTCTAATTACACTGTAATAACACCACATTTGTTGGATTCTGAACAAGGCTTTTCTGTTTGTTGCGGAGGTGACTCTTTGTGCATTTCAGATTGAAGATCAAACAATAAAAGAAAAGAATGCTTTTCTTTTAAAATTGCACATCCTTTAAAACCTGCACACGTGTACTGGAGTGCACTGTGAGTGAACCTGGAGAGTATATTAGAGGCTGTATTCTCAAGCATTTAGTGCCATCATGCCATCTTTTGTGAACCCTGTCTTCTAGGAAGCAATGAAACATTTGACTGGCTTATTATCAGAAGACATGAAGAAAGAAATATATGACTTATGGGAGGTAAGATGGACAATTTCTGTGTCCTGAAATTACAAGTAGATATTAAATAGTGTCATTTAATATCTACTATCATTACTATTACTATTAAATAGTAATGGGTGCTTTTCTGTTCCTTGTGCCTTGCACTTTTGGACAGCAGTTTTCAAGTCTATCCACAGATACTGAATAGAATTCAAGTTGCAATTGTGGCTGGGCCACCCAAGGACATTCACATTTTTATTCTTAAGCCACTCCTGTCTTTAGGCCTTGTGCTCTGGGTCATTGTCTTGCTGAAATTTGAATTTTTGTTCCATTTTTTACCTGAATCAGGTTTTTCTTTAAAATTTGACAGTACTTTGATGGAAACTTTGATGGTTTCCATCAGTCTTAACAGATTTCCAAGCAGCAATATCTCTTCTATAATGTGGAGACCAAAATTTTACACAATATTCAAAACAAAGCCTCCCTAGTGCATTACACAATTTTAATATAACATCTCTTGACTAAGTGATGCGTGAGATAAAAGTTAGACCAGAAATTTCCAGTTTTTGTCTTGTCGATCATAAAACCTTTCACTGCATGTTTGCATTATCACTTAGCTTCTTTTTTGCAAGCCTAATGCTTGATTTGAGTTTTTTTCTTGTCGGTTACATACAAGCCCCCTTTGCGGACTGACCCGTGTACTTTTTGACCCAGGGGTATTTTCTCTCAGGCTAGCTATTGAGCCCTGCAACTCTTTCAAAGTTGCCGCTGGTCTCACAGTGGTGTTTCTCTCCAGTTTCCTCCTTGTTCAGCTGCTTAGTTTGAAGGGACCAGGTCTGCGTACCTTCCATTTCTGAATGATTGCCTTCACCACGACAAAAGAGATATTACGAGTCTTTGAAATGTTTATATACCTTCACCTGATCCTTGGCTTCAGACAGGTCTATTCTAGAGTTCCCTCATCTTTATGGTTCAATCTTTGCCTTAAACTCCCTACCTGACAGATGGACCGTACACAGTGTGGTGTACTTATTCTGAAATCCGGAGAACCACTAGTATTGTACACTCACACAATGATTATTCGACTAATAGTGTGGCTCATGTACCTACAGTACATTAATTTAGGTTTGCTACAGCCAAGGTTTTGAATACTTATGCGATCATGAGTTTCCATTTTTTCCTACCAATCTATTTACCTTTTAGTTTTTTGCTTTGAATCAGTGGACTAGGTAGTGTATATAACAAATGTTAATTGCTACTTCAAAGTGTCAGTTACTGCTGGCTTTAAGCAGTTAGCTTTGCAAAAAATCTGCAAGGGTCTGAATACTTCTTTAAGGCACTGTATAATTCTTAACAAATTTTAATTTTTAGATTTATCTGTAGTATTGTTAAATAAGCTCGTATATAAGCTTCATTCGAATCGGTTATAATTTGTAGAGGCATATTCAAAAGTACTTTGGATGTACATTTGCAATATATTGTAATATCAGTTACCTTTCCCAGAGGACCCTGTTCTTAATAACTTGAAGGAAGGTTTGAACATGGAAATTGTATTAACAGATATGTTGGTGTTGCTTCTGAGCAGTGTTTTTCTATTGCTAGGAGTACGAGTATCAGGCCAGCCCAGAGGCCAAGCTGGTGAAAGAACTTGACCGGTTTGAGATGATTCTACAGGCACATGAGTATGAGACGCTTGAGAACAAACCTGGTCGACTGCAAGACTTTTTTGATTCCACTAATGGTATGTTTGTCTTTCATCATCACCGCCTGTCATACTTTACAGGGTTCATTTTATTTATCAAACTTCTTTAAGTTAACTTGTTACTTCTATTAAAATAATGCTGGAGGCAGTCTTTTAGAACAATATCACTAACATCAAGTATACACATGGAACAGGTAAAGGTTTATTCTTTTATTCTAGAATTAATAAAATGTATTCTAGAAAGGTTTATTCTAGACTTTATAAAAGACTTAATAAAGTCTTATCTATCTATCTTATTCCATGCTGAAAAGAGACGAATGAAAACCAAACGTTTCGGCTGTGGAGACTTTTTCAGGTGTGCTCACATGCTCACACCTTGTGTTTTCTTTCTTCTCTTTTCAACATGGAATAAACCAGTTAGTTGTTCCTTTGCAGCCTACGCATGCTGACGCAGCTACCCGCCATCAAATATACACTCTCATTTCTGTAAGAATAATGAGGATTACCACCATAGTTTTATTGAAATTTCTAGCAGCCAAAGTGAGTGTTCTGTTCATGTTCTGCAGTTGGAATGTCAGTTGGCAACATACAGCTTGCTTTTTATGTTCTTTATATGACTTTATGTTGTACATACAGTACAGCATGTATATTAGGGGTAGGCTAGTTTGTGAAAGGGTTAATTTAGTGCAGTGTACCAAGTCTATTTAAATTTTACACAGTCTGTGTAAAATGGTATGAAACAAAAGCCCCTTTTTATGGAACACATTTTTCCTCTCACAGGCAAATTTCAGCATCCTGAGCTCCTCGAGTTAGTAAAAAGTTTAAATGAAGAAAGAAACATGCAACTAGCTGCTACAGGGAGCAGTCCTGACCGAGGTGCATCACTGCCAGGGGACAGAGTTTCACCACCTTAGTTGCAACATCAACGGTTTATAATAAAATATATTTTAATAATTCTTGCCTTATCTTCATTTGATGTTTCTAAGCTATTTTATAGCACATTTTCTTCATTGTTTTTCCATCTGAGTAACAAAAAACCTACTGTTTCTGAGTGAGCCGAAGGCCTGTGATGATTAAGCTGTGGTTATATGTGTCATGTGTCAAAACAAATGTACAAAAACAAGAAGATTTTTTTCATCCTTAAACCTTTACTAAAGCTGTACACATTTTTGAGATAGGGGACATGATTCTGAATAAGATTACTTTTAAATGTATAGCCAGGGAATCTACATTAAGGTTATTATTGTTAGGAGAAACAATTTGTCGTTCATCTTTATAGGTGATTCGTAATTCTGAATGTCTTAGTTTTTATAGTGTAAGATACTGATGCAAATTAAATCGACATAATAGGTTTTCATGAGCGAGGGATATAAACCATGTAAACATGTTTTGGGTATTTCAACATATTATTAAATGCCAGAAAGTTACATTGCTTAATACATGAGGAATAGTTTTAAGATAACGTAGGGGTTTTGCCTTAAATTAAAATGAAAACAATGGCTCAATTCCATGCTGAAAAGTAAAAAGAAGAAAAACCAACATTTAAGCTATTGGGCCTTCTTGGGTGCGCAGGATTGAGGGAGAGAACAGGAATCTGAGGAAAAAAAGAGAGCAAATTTGAATGAGGGGAGGTGAGAAAGGTGTGAATCAGTTTTTTATAATCCTACTCTCTCCTTTTTCCTGCAGTGCTGGTGTATTTAGGGGAAGCAAACATCATCCGATTACCAGACAGTCAAACAGTAGAGCCACTTAGAGCTTGGGAATTTTCCTTAGGAATCGGAGGTAATTTAATTTCCTAATAAGTCTGTCTGAATATGTTGAAAAATCTTTCGACACGAAAGGATGAGAATAAATGTATCCAAAAATAGAAACCATTAATTATTGTATGAATCATATTATGTTTAAATGAAACTTAATCATGTTTAATAATAGATCTACATCCAAAAGTTCCCAAGTGCACCCTAATAGTAAATTAATAATAACAATAGATCAACATCATCACAAAAAATATTTAATGGGTACAATATTACCTGCCACCAAACAAAATCAGGGCAGTGAAAGAAGACCCAGGACTCAGTAAATACCTATTTGAATAACCGGTTGTTGCAGTAGTGGTGCTCAGGGCGTACTGTATGTAGTGCTTCAGCAACATTCAGAAAGAAATTAGCCACTCGTTGGCTGTTCAGGGAATGTATGAATGAAGTTTCACAATTTTATATGCCTTTCAAAACCTCCATCCATTTACTGATTGCTGCCTTGCACACCTGGAATACGTTATGTCATTTTCCATCTCTCCAGCCCCTCTCCCCACTCCCACTTTTTGACCTGTTTACCCCACCACTTTTGCCCATCTTGCTCTCTCTCCCAGCATACCTGAATTCAAAGCCAAAATGCTTTTTTCTTCTAATTTTGTAACAGTCGCAACTCATTCCATTAGACCTAGTTACTGAACACATAAACACAAGACTACCTGTGAACACATTTCAGTATTGTACTTGGACAGAAACATTTACAAAAGAGGAACCGGTGTATATTGTGTATGTTTGCATACTGTATAGTGTACGAACTTTGACCTTACAGCAACGTTAGTTTTTAAAAAAACAAGTATTTTGTGTTATATTAACATCTTATAATAATCTTCAAAGGAACAAGTAATAGGTTTATTCCATGCTGAAAAAAACAACGTTTCGGCTGTGGAGCCTTCTTCATGTGTGAGGGCTCCACGGCCGAAATGTTGTATTTTCTTTCTTCTTTTTTTAGCATGGAATAAACCTGTTACTTGTTCCTTTGCAGCCTACGCATGCTGACGCAGCTACCCACCTGAACTTATAATAATCTTGTCCACTGGTCCTAGATCATGATGTAAGTAAAAGAGGGAACTTAGTTATAAAAAACATTCAAAGGTAACCAGTGTCCAGTCACATGCAAAACCTTTATTCTGAAACTAGATTAACAAGCACATATAATAAAATTTTGTCAGGTTTGCAGCAGAAGTACATAACATTACTGAAAGACATAAATAATAAAAGGAGTAAAGTGTACACACAATGCTCAGAGTTTTAAATCCTTCAGTACAATACTACAGGCTTAAACACACTTTTGCCCTTCATCCATAGAAACAAAAATACTTACAAATCTAAGAATGTTAAAGTCACAAAGTGTAAATATACAAAGGAACAGAAGATTTAAAGTTAATCATTTTAAGGGACTCACAGTTTATTAATTACGGGGGTATACAGTAGGTGATTGTATGACTCAAATACTTATTTATAAGATTGCATCGTTATATACAGTATTTTAAGTCTTGGTACAAAAAAGTTAAACGTTTTCTTCTGATGAATAGGGAAATGACAAGGAAAATTTAACTTTATACATTTAACACCAAAAGATAGGGGAGGGGGGTTTATTTAAAAAGTAAATGTAGAGTATTTTCATTACTGTTCTTGTTAAATGACTCCTGAACTTTGGTGTAGATTGTGAAAAGCATACATAAAAATAACTCGGAGAATGTGGCAGTGGAGGGATAACTTCACTCCTTTTTGAGCTGGTACGCAGACAGAGCCACTCGGGAGACCGGATGTAAGAGTAGTTTCATTTTACGCTGTGGGGAAAGAGGGGGTGTTGGTCTCTGCCCCCCAGAGCAGCGTGTGGTCAGGCGCGTGAGCGCAGAGCTAGCAGGTCCTCTCTCCGCTCTCCAGCAGCCTCACTGCCACCGGGGGGTCCTGGGCGCTGGCGTGGGCGGTGGACGACAGGACCTCTTCGAAACTCCCTCTGCTGCTGCTGGATCCACCCACCTTTGTCTGCTCACGCAAAGCAAGAGAGCAGGAAAGTCATGTGGCATTGTATTTAAGTACACTTGGAATCTTTTGGCATCACTGTAGTTGTACACAACTTTGAAGACTAATGGCTGATGCATTTGATGGCTCATACTTCAGATATTACCAATTGGCTTTTACAAAATTGTGCATACGTAACACCTATCGTTGGTCATACAACTGCAAAATCCTTTATGAACAGCATCCAAGAAAATACATTAAGTCCCATGTCCTAATCTAACACCAGACTTGCAAACTTGAAACCTATGTCTTTTAGAGCACGTGACCTAACCCTTTGTGTCTTCCTGTAAATCATCTCACTTTTTTAATCAAAATTATAATTTTTTTCTAGGGCCCAGAGCACGAATTTTGCAAGCAAATATATACTGAGAGGCACTAAAGTGAAACAAAAGAGTATTGGAAACGATTTGCATTTTTAATGCCTATCACGTTTTATATAGGTAGTTAGAATGCAGAAAAGAATTAGATGGAAAACAGTTTGGCTCACACCATACAATTTAATGATAATGAGCAGTGTAACTGCAATAATGTGAAATACTGTAGCTATGTACAGCTCTGATAATACTCTGAGCCAGGAATAGCTTAAACAGAAGGTTCTTGGTGAGTCATTAGGAGCACAAAGGAGCAAGGAGTAAGGCAATTAATCCATCTTTCGACATTTTGTTATATCTATTTCTGAAGACTGAGTCCAAGAGGGGTCTCTTTAAATCCATCCTTCCAGTTCCAGAGTATTTGCGATGTTATCACCTTGTGGCCTGGTGAGAACTCCCCAAACCAATGCCTGATTATAGAAATTGGAGCACACTGCTGTATACAAAGCCATCCTTTGAATGAGTCAAGGTCTTGACTGCATGGTCATCTACGATCCTGAATCCAGAATCACATTTGAAGTAGAGATTTATAGCAGACTGTAAGTACATTACAGAAGTAAAACACCAGCTACAAAATATAATAATAATCATCACCAACATCATTATCATCATCTAAGATTGTTTTTTGACAGGATTTGTACTTGGGGAGCTCCACTTCACACATCCCATCTTGAAAGAGAACTGAAACCTAGCCTACAATCGTAATGAAAAACCCTCAGGAATTTCCTACTAATCCAATCTCTTGCATTTGTTCATAGTAGTTTCTTTTTTTGAGTTGCGTCATTATTGGCTACAGAGGCAAGCAGTGGAATCTAACCAGAAGCTACCTTACAAGTCAGACAGGGTTAAAGGCAGCTAAGATGAGGAGTACAAAGATGACAATTTACTGTAGAATCTGTATCTGGATTCTCCATCCCATTTATTCAGTACTGACTCACTAAGACCACGTTTGGGTTCTCAAAACCTAAATTTTGCAATTGGTGCCGTAAAGTTTAGACCTCTTGACTTTTTCAGTGCACCATAAATACAGATCTTTTCAGACAGTGTCAAGCGCACTGGATTGGATGTGGGGGGTTATTACATCTGCAAGAGCACATGGTGCTGCTGTGACCCATATTTCTACAGAGGAGTGCTCACCTTTAACGTGGATACTGTGCTTTCAACCTTCTCTTCAAAGGACCTGAAGCTGGGTGAATTCCTGTGATGGACAGATACAATTAAGAGATTGGCGTACAGTTCTGTGATCTCACAAAATACACATCTGACTGGTTACTTGACATGAGTTGTAAGACAATTTCTTATATTTAGAGTATACAATTTTAATTCCACTAAACCCCTCTTGTTTATTACTATATAAATGTAGTTTGCTTATATACAGTGTCAGAGATAAGCAGAATCACCTAACTAAATAAAAATTCTATATAAAGGTTATAATTGCAGTGATCTAAAGTAACATAAACGGTCATGATTAATGATTTCCATAAAATATTAGGCACAAAAAAATTAAATCATTAATACTCAAAAACTATTACTGTTATTTAAATGCTGAGTTCTTTTAAAGGGGAACTGCAATATCATCTTTATATTTCATTATGTTATTTTTATATTTCAGGGTTAGAAAGAATCAGCATTGATTAATGCATTTCAAACCGCAATAAAAGTAACGTACACAGTAACTTGTAAAACCTCCAGTTTACAGCACAAAATAGGTATGTGCAATGCCGTATTCCGCTATTCAGTACGAGGCAACAAAACGTCCGCAGAGGTGAAGCGGCCCTACAGCATTGTAAACAATAAGGCTTGTGAATTCATCTCTTTTAATCTAATAGAAATAATGCTCTCAAATTCAAGACGGTCTTGCCGTTAAATGGAACTTACTTGTTGACTTTGCATGAAGATCACATTAGAAAATTTGTGCAGTGAAATATCTGCTACACAGCCTGTACTTTATTCGCTCGTACATCACATTACATTAGTCATTACAGTGACCAGTGAGCAGGAAGGGCCGCTTCACGTCAATTTGTGGGAGGTCTCGCACTCGCCCATGGCAAGACCAGGGGTTTGCAACAACATGCTGACTTACAGTACTTTCACAAAGTTCACAATTTTGTGCTTAATTCAAAATGTGTTAATTTTTTCTGTACCATCGATGGATTAATTTAACTAAGATCTAAAAACCGGTTTGAGAAATTGGGAAAGCAGTTCCCCTTTAAATGTGTTGTAAAAAAATCGAATTTCAGCTGAAGTTCAAATAAAACTGGAAAAGCCATAGGAAGAAAACGTGATAAACACGTTTATTTTTGAAAGAATATTTAAATTCAGTATAAGATATCAGAAATTTCAAATCCAAACCCCACTGAGCCACTCTTATTCCAGCTACAGAGAAGAAGAGGTCATCCCTTTACCTCATCGCAGGCATGCTCATGGAGTGACGAATAGAGTAGCTGCTCCAGGAGAGCATCAACAGGGGGAAAGACAGGTTAACCATTGACACAGTCAGTCACACTGACTCTACGTCTTGTCAGCATTATACTGTACATGGAGTGAACCCATCTCAGACAAACTAAGTTCCCGAAGAGCTGGTAAAGAAGATGCACAGTAAACCTCCATGTATCAAGAGCTCAAGAGGAAAAACAAAAAGTCTCCAATTCTCAGTTTTTCAGATTTCATTCTGCATTATAACAAGTTGGACTTGCTGTCCATATAGTTCATGTGTTGCTGTGAAGTTGTGGGCGGGGCAAGGAAGACTCGCAGGCGGGACACAGAAAAAGCCAGAGCTGGTGCAGAAGGAGGTAAACTATAGATCAGAGCTGGCTGCAGCTCTACTGCCCATGTGGGGAATGACAGAAATACCTGCAGAGGGATGATGTAGAAGAATGGCCCCCTCAGATTGAACCTGAATAGTAGGTTATTGGTCTTCATGGACTGTCCAACACGAACACCATGTACAAACACTAGGCGGCTGGTGTGGTTCACAAGGGTACCTAGCACCCTTAGCTGATGGCCAGTGTTAAAATGTCACTGTTGTGTTGTTGAACGTATCTCCACATATTCTGAACACCCGAGCGAAGAAGGACAGAACTGTAAACTGATCACCACTTGGAGATGACGTGCTACCAGGATCTATCTTCCAGGATGCCATCTGGATAGACAAAGAAGGTCCAAACAATCAGTCGCTGCAGAATGGCTGGTCCAGTAGATGACCCATTCCAGATAGATTTAATTTCCCACCTCTGAAAGAACGTCTCTTGCATTCTAGGTGAGCTCTTGGACATTGAATCTGAGTGGCTGGTATTCAGGGCCTCAATGGTGAAAAAGGTTTGTGCTTTTAATGGCAGAAACCTTTGGACCAACTAGCAGGAAGGACAGAGAGGACAGAAGACTTGTAATCCTCATGAAGTCGCTGATTGCCCTCAGGGGTGCTGATCTGGGGATCTTGACTACACAACTTTAAGGTGCTGTGGGAAACGTGCTTCTTCAATGTTGCCTGGAAGGTGGGTGGATAACTCTGAACCGACAAACTGATATGTGGTTCCCATTTTTAGAAAAACAGGACCAGTGTTCAAAAAAACGTCAGATTCAAGAAGAACAATGTGGATTCTGTCCTGGCAATGGAACAGTGGACCTAGACTTTTCTCTTTCTCTTGGGCAGTCTAATCTTGAGACGTCCAATGATAGACGCCGCAGTTATATGAGGCTCATGTGCCACCTCTGAGTGCTAACCAGTTCTTCCATTCTCTGACAGTGGAATCTATATTCCAGGCATTAACTCAAGGTCATTCAAGATGAACACTGGACATGAGTGCATCTTGTATTCACTCCTATTTACAAGCTATCCACACATTAACAAGATAGTAGCCAATGTATGAAAATGATCCACTTTGCAGGCTTGGTGGTAGCATCTCTTCTGTTTGTGGATAACAATGTCATTCTTGCCTCTTCTGACAATGTGCATTTAAGTGTTACAATGGGAAAATGGGAAGCAGCTGGGATGAGCTTGAACCTCCTATTCCAAGATCATAACTGTATCCTTGAAAAAAGTGGATTTCTCTCTTCAGCTGAGGTGGAAAATGATTTGCGGCCACTCCTACTCAACATGCTCCTACTCTACAGTTCTCACGGATAATGCAAAATGGAAGATGGAACTTGAGCAATCTTAAGCACACTGGGTATACAGTATACAGTAACAACATGTTTTTTGCTTTAAATTAACAACTAGAGAATTCACCAGAATACCACATCTTTCCAATAATACGATTAATGTCTCTAAATTATAAATACATCTTACCCAATTGAATGTGATCTTTTGATGCATAAGGAAAGAAGAAAAACGTTAGGTGTGTGAGGGAGGCATTAAAACACTCCTTTTTTACAAGTTCAAAAACACACTTAAACAGTCAGCATATAAAATTTATGATTTGGTTGTTTTAAAATAATGAAAAGGTTTTTTTCTCTGAAAGTTATCTGAAAAGTTCTACAAACCAGTGCAAATTACTGTAGATGATCAAACGTAATGTGATAATGCTATTTAAGACTCAAAAACAAAAACCTTCTGAAATAAGTAATAAATATGTAACCGGCACCAAGGACATTTTGGTATGAACCACAAAACCCATTACGTTAGAAGGCTGTTACAGTGGTAGACTGCAAACCATTTTTTATGATCTTTTGTAAATAGATTAAATATTTTGGCACACATTTGAATGGGATGGTTTTACATTTCCAAAAGAAGGATACTTTGGCAAATACCACCCTTTAATTAGTTTGAATATGATCTTCCTACCTGTTGAAACATCCCATGCCTTTTCATTTGTAATATTATACATTCTTCAGATTTCACTGGAACATGGAAATTTCAATTTGATCACTGCACCTACTAGTGGTAGCATTATTTAAAATGTATTGGTGTTTTTTAGACTTCTTGAAAGATCGGTCTCCTTAGCAGCTCAGCCAGTAAAGGCACTTGTTCTGTGCCCAGCTGCTGCAAGTTCGAGCCTGGAGCCAGGTCACCAGGCAGAGCGCCACCAGGGCAAAGCTGGGAGCTGGCCAGTGTTACTGAGAAGCAGGTGCTGACCCAACCGGCTCCTGGCTGCTTGCAGGCTTGCAGGGACGTCAGAGACGCACTGCACCTCCCTAACTCTCCTGACAGGAGCTGCAGTGCACAGAGCATGACGTGATATCATCACAGCACACCCTCAAGGACAGGCGAAGTCTCCAGATGGCACAGACTGCACCTCTCGTGCCTTGTGTAGTGTAAACAAAACTCAACAATACATGCAACAACTCACCATTACTAAAAAAAAAAAGTACAATATACACAATAATATTGTACAATAAGTACAATAACACCAAATTAAACACAACACAACACAGATTCACCATTTTACCAGAGATTTTGTATAGTTAAAAGCAAACCACACAACAAAACATCAAGATGAATGCTAAATGTCAAACACAAAAGCCATGCAAAACTTTTACATACTCTTTTACATACTAAAAAGACACACTTTGCAGGCTTATGAAATGAAGATATCTCATCTTCACTTCACATACGTTGTCCTAAACAGAGTTACAAAGTCATCTTATGGATCTGTGACACTCAGCGAGCGCTTTGAGTTTGCACTTGACTGTGTGGTGCCAGAACACTCCATCAAGCAGGGGCTCATGTTAACAGGCCCAGAGGCGAGGGCCAGGGCCAGTGGCATACAGCGCAAGCCCTTGAACAGGCACGAGCATTTCAAGAGGAAATCTCACAGACACTAGCAATGCTGAACTCTCATTAGAATTAACGAACTCTATCAGCAGGTTTTCTCAAACTGGAAACAGCAGCACACTGCGAATCGTAAGTCATTAATTTGAATGCTCACCAAGCTAGTGCTGCTAATGAGTTTAATTTGTATCCTACTAAACTTCCATTTGTGTAATAAACTGAGATTAAGGAATCAATTTCCTCACTGTGAGATACAACTTTGAAAAATAAAAGTAAGCTATTTTAGATAGTAAGCTAATAGTAAATAGTAAAATAGTAAGCTCTTTTAGAATGACGGGAAAAAAGCGCTCATGAGGTGTGAGTCTGATTGAGTGAGTGAGAGGTCTTGAGTGTCCCTAAATATATCACAACAATGGATTGACATAATTAATGATAGGTCAAAATGTCTAACATGGCCATGCAGTTACCACACAACAGCTATACTGCAGGAAGTAAATCAATTATACAGAAATCTGGATGGATGTTTTCTGAAATGCTATGGGAACAGGTGGAATGTAAGCAAGGTTTCTTGGAACACTGCCCTCATTGTTTTAAAAAAAATATTGTTTTCTGTGCAAGCACCCAGAGTATAATTTTCATCAAATCGGTACATTATTGAGAATCTTCTGTTGCAGAAAAAAAAAGATGTTCTCACACATTTACAGTATAAGCTTCAAGTCCTTCAGTAGGCAGATTCAGCCTTGCTCACCACATGAGATTTGACAAGGTCAGACAAAGATTCAAGTTCAGGTTTTCCAGATCTACTTTCCTTAAAGACTGGATGTTTAAATGATGGATGAAGCTGTTTCAATGTTCACCCAGTGTCAGTATAATGAGCACTGATACCGCATGTGGCATGCACTCTTGAAGCTCTATCGGTTTCAATAACACTTCCATAACAAAGGACACAGAGAAGAAAGGTCTCATCACAAAAGATACACACAGCCTGTTGTCTACCTCACCTTCTAGGAAACAGAAAGTCAAGGCCATATACACTGAAGCAAAAACAAAATGTTTTTGAGAAGACTTAATGATAATCATTTTCTTATCAAATTAGGCTTTTAATGTGGAACAGATTCAGTTATAAAATACATGGGTGAAACAGTGCACACACCTTTACTAACTCACAACATTAATACGGAAATGAGAGGCACAGAATAAGATAAAGGACAGCGTAAAAACACCTTAATTAGAAAACACTGTTTCCTGAAAAATAATCAACATGATAATGCTTTATGTAGATTACTGACATTTACACGTATACATTATATAATTTTTTAGCAAAGAGATGTTAATTTGGCTTCTACTTCCATTCAGTATTAAATAGAAAAGTTTTTTTAAACATAACACTTTTACCTGCCATGCTCCAATATCAGAAACTACTGTAGGTAATCTGTATCAGTCACACTGACCTGTTTGTCCTACATTAATACATTAGTAAGACAGCAAGATGGTGTTAAAACTAAAAGTCAGTAACTTTAAAGTAGCCCAACACATCCCTGGTATTGACTTACCAGTTAAAAAGAGGATTTGTAACAGAAAAGGTTCCTTAAAACATACAGACCTTTATGTTAAATTTGAAACTTGTGTTGCTGCTCGTGATTGTTTTCTTTTGATTTTATTTCCATTAAACATGTGCAACTCATTACAAAACGAAAAGGAACTGGCCATCTGCTGTAATAACATGATGTGGCTTTTCATAAAGCTGACTATATTGATATATTAAGTCATATCACCAGAGGCACTAGCATATCCGCCAGATTAAACTAGGTTAATCTAGGCGGTATTTTTATATTTTCAAATTCCACTAATTTCCCTGATATAGACCATAATTACAGGTGGATCGCTATGATCACGGATTCGAATGTGTGTCTCGTCAGTAGCCAGTGTGACTGTGATTCTCTTAGGCTAGGGTGGATAAGATTGGAGGCAGTGCTCATAGCAGTATGGGGCTATGTTGCCTTTAAGTGCAGCAGGTAAGTCTGCCTACACTTCCTTTCTCCCGTGTGCGGCTGCAGGGTTTGTAGCTGTGAGCAGAGATGTGAAAAACACACAACTGGCTATCATTTAAATAACAAAATAATGGCTGACTCAAAATAGTCTGTATATTAAGGGAAAATTGGGCCCGGTTTGTGTGTGTGCGCCCATCTGTGTCTCTGTGTGCTCTGTGATGCATTGGTGTCCCAAGAAAAGTGTTTTCTAATAAAATCTAATTTAAGAGAATGATGTACTGTATATATTTTCAAAGACTGATCAAGTAGATAAAGCCTGTCTTATTTCTTTTTAAGTTACATGACTTAGTAGCTTGCAGTTCGATATTAGAATATTACAACCACGGTGTTGCAAAATTATGGTTGTTTTTTCTTTTCAAAATGGAATTATCTTCTGTACATAAATAAAAAACATTGTGCACTACTGTATTGAAAATGTGGTCAAATGTATGTGTCGGAGGGGACCAAGAGTTACCATAAATTAAATCACAGTCTTTAATCCTCTGATCCCACACCCCTGGGATTACATTCAAATGTGGACCACAGAAAGCTGATTAAAACTGCCAGTGTTATGTAACAAAAACATGTTCATGTAAGAGAAGCTATGAGTAACCAGTAACAACGGTGAGGTGTTAAAAGACACATACTGTACAGTACATTTCGGCAAATAATCAATCACATAGTTTTTTATCTTTTAAAAATATGCTGTTCTTTTCATAACATGGATATTAAGTTTTGATTTTCTTTGTAACTAGTAAAACATTTATTTTTATCTGCAATAATCTGAAAGAAGTAAACAGAACAGAAGATGGGAAATATCAGAAGAACAGGCTCAAAATATAAAACTCTTTTCTTCATTTTCAGCACATGGAATGCATACCTCATATCACCGAACTTCCTGCTGATGGCTGTGCCCACGTTGCTCAGAGCTGCTGTAGCCTTCTGTCCAGCAGTGCTCAGTGTCTCCTGTGTCTTTTTATACCTGAAGAGAATCAATCAGACAAGCAATCATGTCACAGAGACTAATACAACCATCTTGCAAATTACAGCTGCTTCATATTATTACTATGACTCAAATGATCAATATGAGTGGTAAACCTTCACTTCTATTCTATAATTACTACAACACTCAGTCTATGTCTTTATAAAAGTACTTTTTATGCCTTGGGAACTGAGAACAAATACATTATCTATGATTCGAAATTCATTCTCATCTCTCTACATCATCTTGCTCTGGGTTTCTTGAGTGGGCATATGAATACATTATTCTCAAGAATGTCAAATACAGTATTTCCACATATCTACATATCTGACTAAACATTTTACACATCACATCTTATTTAAAATCATCACCAGCACACAAAATAGCTGTGCGAAATATAATTAGTGAGTAAACTGATTAATCATCTATGCTGATGTCACTGACAAATGTTTCATGCTCTTTGTTTGAGATCAGGACCATGACAGGTCTTAGTTATGCAGTGAAGAAGAGGCTGTGTGAGTATCCTGACAGCACAGGGTTTAACACGGTGTTGTACCACCTGTGTCTGTGTCAATGAGACACAGCTCTACATGCTCACTTAAGAGCTGTGCACACACTAGCAACCACACAGTTATCTGCCACATTGATCCGCCATTTCATACTCTGCGTGAGCTTCGGCTTTCAAAAGTCACGCCCAGAAGCAATGTGAGTGATTTTACCCAACGTGATTTTAAAAAAAGACTATTTTCTTATCTTTGCCTTTTCTGTTAGCAGGACAAGGTTTACAGTAGCATATTCATGTAATAATGTAGTTGGCTCACTGACAATAAAAAGCCAAACTGTTATCCAAACAGATCGGAAAACCCATGACTCCCCAAGCAGCAGGAGATGGGACTGTAGCCTGTGCCCCTGTGGACTTAATGACAGACTGGGGACGATGGAAGCCCAGGCAATGAGCAACGTAACTGCTCCTTTGTTTGCACTGTGAACTGCTATGTTTAAGATGTGGTGTTCTGGTTGCTCACAACAAGGGTGGAACGATGGCTCGGTGACTCAGGAACTCCGCCTGTGGCTGGAAGGTTACTGATTCAAATCCTGCAGCCGGTAGAGGAATCCTACTCTGTTGGGCCCCTGAGCAAGGCCCTTAACCCCAACTGCTCCAGGGGTGCTGTATAAATGGCAGACCCTGCACTCTGACCCCAAGTGTCTCTCCCTGTCTGTGTGTCTCATAGAGAGCAAGCTGGGGTATGTGAAAAGACACATTCCTAATGCAAGAAATTGTATATGGGCAATAAAGTGAAATACAGTAATGTAACTGGATCACATCTCTGGGAAAGTGGGGGATTCAGGAAAGCTCACTCCCGCTGGATTTATCAGTGAAACCTTGGAGCGGGGAAGGAACTGGAACACACTTGGCTGAGCGGGTTGAGTTCACTCGTTGATAAGGCGAGCGTTCGTGGGGGGGTTACCGCCGGTTCACGAGGCTTGCTGTTGGGCTAACCTTGGGCGGATCCTTTGGTTACGCGCGGGCGACCTCCAATCTCGACTCTTGGAACAAAGTCAAGTTCTGGCACTCGGTCACACTGGCCGTCACGTGATTGTCTGAGCTGGGACTGAGAACGTCCTGGAGGGGCCTCTTCTGGGCCCAGTGCTACCTCTTTTATCTGGAGGAACTTTGGTTGTTCATTGGTTGAAAGCTCCGCAGGCATTCGAGAAACACGTGGGGTTACCCTTCCCTACCAGATCCTGATCCTGATCAAGGTGGAGGATGGGTAACAATGCTCTGTGACATTAGGGTTGTAAACAACCTGGGATGAGACTCTCCCTTGGAATCTCCCAGACAGAAAGGCACCAGAGATGACCAATTATTAGGGTGGCTGGAGAATCTCAGCCTTGGGAGTTGTTCCTTATCAGGAAACTCTATCAGAAATTTGCCTTAAATCTGAATCAAATGGAATGGCCTCTCTGTGTCCAGCACCACTGAGATGAGGGAGACAGGGACTGGCAAGGGAGCAGCAAACTTAATTCCTGTATTATCAATAAGCCATGCCGCTACATAGGCAATATATACTTATGCAATACGCCCCAGAATACAGCTCTTCTCTGGACTGATTCAAGAGAATCAGTATAATTTTGATGGAGTGGTGACCCAAGTACACTGCATCATTTTCATGGCTTTAACAATTCATTCTGACTTCTACACAGTTCTCACATTGTGTTGCTTTAATTAGTCTTTAAAGTAGTAATGAATGTTTCATATCTACTGTATATACAACCTGGGAAATTTCTCAAGTCTGAGGGGAACACAGAGGGAGAAAAGTACTGGCAAATCATATAGGAAAACCTCTTTAAGAGCTGAGACTGGGACAATAATTCACCTTTCAGCAGGACACTGACCCAAAGCTCAGGGCTAAAGCTACACTTGAATGGCTCAAGAACAAGAAAGAGAATGTCCTCAAGCGACCTCAAGTCCTTACTTGAATCTTATTGAGAATCTATGGAAACTGAAAACTGTTAGACCATAAGTGATCCCCAAGCAACTTGAGTCAGAGTATTCATTTTGAGCATTCAGTTTTGGAAGATATATAATTATTTAATATACAAATATTAAGTTTAAAAATGTGTACACAACATTTTGCAATTTCACAAATTGAGAAACTACGGTAAAGGTCTGACCACCTTTGCAAGGCACTGTACTGTATATACTATATAGTTAATTAAAGTTACAAAAATAATTTATCTTATTAATTGCTTTCTTGTTTGGTCCAGATGTACTGTAAATGATGTGACCTATATAAGGTCAACATTGCCTCTTTTGTATTTAGTTTTTGCTATTTGTACTATATGTTAATACCCAACATAATGTCACAATCAGCAGCAGGTGTTTGCTCAGTCTTAAATTTGCTATAAACCTTCCTGAACTTTATTTGCTGCTACTATAATGTTGGGTCATCCTCCTATTTTAGTTTAATCTGCAAGCCTGTCTAGTTTACTGTCTATACCAGAATCCAGATCAGCGATATAAATTAAGAACGGTAGTCCCAGTACCGATCCGTGGTACTCAAACTACTTACTGTACATCACCGCAACCTGAGTACTTATCCCTTTGTATGAACTTTGCACTTCTGGACAAAAATACACAGAGATTGCATGCTCTTGAAAGACACCACAGACTTCAAAGATGTTCATTGCAAGATATTATATACATACTTGTATACAGTAAATGTTTCTAATGTTTGAACGTACAAGACTTTCATTTTATGTATGATTTTTGGGTTAAAGGTATATCAATGATATTGTTTTGATAAGGTTTGCATCAAAGTTGAAACCTCTTGTTAGTCTACAACAAGTGATTACAGAATAAATGTGATACAAGTTAAAATCATTTTTAATATTTTGGCATAATAATAGTATGTTATTCAAAAAATATTCTGATATTCTGATTTCTATATGTTGAATGTAAAGTTCATTTCTGGTTAGGATACCTAAAGATGAAGATAAATAGTAGAGTCAATTGTTGGCAATTATTTAATGTTTTTTTTTATTTCCTAAGCCTTCTAGGAAATTCAATGAATCAATTTCCTAAAGATTTAGATCTAGATCTAAATCAGACACTGGAATAGTTTACAAGAACATGTTCATCTTATACTGCTATAGAGCAAATTCCAGTTAATAAAACTTTTATTTCATATTTTCACAATTTTATTATCATCATTACTCAATTTATTTGCTGTTGATCTTGAAAATTAGATTGTTCTTCGCTACTGAAAAGATTTAATTACCCTGCAAAATACAATCTGGTAGAAATCATATCTTAAAGCCTAGTGATAGTGTATCCATTTAGACACTAGTTATTGGTGTGCTGAGGCCTTCACAACTAAAAAACAATGTTTTTTAACTTCCTTTTAAATTAGAAGCGTTTAGAACAAATTAAAAGTATTCAGACAGCAAAGTAAATATTTATTTTTTTATTTACTGTCAAATAATATGTATTTGTGATTGATGTGAATTATATTAGTCATAATCCAATGTAAATGTAATTGTGTGCAATTCCACAGCGATTTCAAGTGACTATAAGTATTGGGATACTCTCACTTCAAGCTTCACTTCAAATAGATTTCAGATGGTAAAACTCAGTATTGAGTTACACATCTCTTTGAGGCAATAACTGCGCATAGTCTGCTAACCACTGAGCTCATCAAACACTTTGTATAATCATTCAAGATGCCTTTCTCAGCCTTGTTTGTGGGGTGTTGTTAGTTGAAGTTTTTCTTAAGCGTATAAGATGCATTCTCAATGGGTTTTAAATCAGGAGATTGGCCAGTGTGAGATTTTCCACTTTTTTCTAAGTGGATCCAATACTTAAAATACACAACTGACACACAACCAACTTGATAAATACTGATGAATACTGTCCAGCACACCTGCGTCTGGAACAGTGCAGGTGTTTTGTTTTTCTAATCCACGTTAGGGATGACTACGGTTATCCTGAAATGCATATTGAAAATGCAAACGAAATGGCAACGCTAGCATAAACGGACTGTAATTAACTGCACAAAGCCCGTGAATGAAAAAAGCAGGGTATGGTATGTTTTAGACAACTGAAACCTTTCTCCGTGTTGGTAATTTGACTGCTTGACTGGACTGACTTCAGCAGGCTGTGTTAGTGTGTAGTTCCCTCTCCATGGAAACAGTGATCTGAGAGGAAGGCTCGTTAGAAGCTACTATTAAAAGGTGTCCAGCAGACAACTGGCTTGCTGAGTCAAACCACACTCACCTACTGTATAAAGAGACATTAATTTACCATTCATACAGTACCTGCTCAAAGAAATTTGATCCCTAATGGTACCTTATCCCTTTATTCAATTAAATGAATTATGATCTATATGAATAATTATGATTTTCACACTTGGGCCAAATATAACACTCACACAGGATCATGAAATTAGCCATCTAATTCTGTTCTAAAAAAGCTTTTACGAAGAGGGAGTCTGTTTTAGTTCCGGTTAATACTGCACCCCTGCTGGGAACAGCTAAGTACTGTAGCTACGGTAACTGGCGCTTGGTACTTAAAGGTTCAATACAGGAGTTACTGGATGAATTCATAAGCAATTCGTTAAAATAAGTGTTTTTTCATGTGCACATAAAAGTCAGTTTTATGTCCCAGTGATGAGAGATGGAATCAGAACTATGATCAGCAGTGCACCACTGTGAGAACGTACAATAACTGTAGGAAGCAATAATGTCAGATATAGGCTGTGGTTTGGCTTTATGAGACTGCTAACCTTTGCTTCAATGGCTCTGAACAGAGGTAAAATCACGTCAATACCTATTAGGCTAATTTCTGCAGACAAGAGTAAAACACCCCCAGGCCTGTATCCTTTTATTCCATCAGCTGCAGAGAAGACTTACACAATTTACTTGCACACTGCATTCTACGGAAAGTCGGATGAATGAAGCTAAATTATTCAAGTCAATTTAAAGAGAAAAGTAAAAGTAATGAGAAATTTCACATTTGGCCAAGGCACACTGGTACTAATGACTGGATTGATCTTCATGTTTACAAATCCAAAACATTTTCTACAGCTTTAGTACTATTAAATTAAATGCTAATAGAATAAACTTTCATCTCTTGCTACTTATCTGAGGTTGTGCCATTTAAATGCAACTCGCTATTTAGCCCAGTCATGATTTAATCCAGGTAATCACAGTCATCCTTACTCACCCAGGCACAGGGAATAAAAACAACTGCACTTACGCTGTGGATGTTTGCACCTCATGCCAGCTTTTGCTGACATTCTGTTTCAGGTCGTTCAATGGGTTCATTCCCAGCTTCAGTTTAAGCTCAGCATGGTGTTTTTCCTTGGCAGCCAGGACTTGCTTCAGTGCAGCGATTTCTTCTTCTAACTATTCAAAAGTGGAAATTCTAGTTGAAGCAAACAAATACTGACTCCTAATGTCCGTCAGGACTGAGAAAACAGAACAAACCAATGCTGTGAATTAAAACCATTCAGATGGCCATTGGAAAAGCGCCTGCTCATTTACACATTGAGAGTATATGCCAGGGGTGCATATTGTAAATTACTGCATAACTACATGTAAAGATAAATGTAGGTCATCGCATAATTACTATTTGCATAATACTGATGGTATTGTTCACATTGCTGCTGCACTCCACTTGGGTCCTGGGTTCAATTCCTGGGTGTCTATCTGTGTGGAGTTTGCATGTTCTCCCTGCCTTCGTGTGGTCTTCTTCCTGGTGCTCCAGTTTACTCCCACAGTCCAAAGACACGCTGGTAGATTAGTTGTCTTCTGGGAACACTGGCCCTGGTGTGAGTGTGTGTGTGTCTGGCAATGAACTGGCGTCCTGCCCAGGGTGTACCATTACTTGACCCAGCTTCTCTGAGACTTGAATGTAGGTTAGAAAATGGATGGATATTGTATCATAAAAACAACATATTACATCACTGAATAGTTAACCACCCTCCAATTTCATTTATCCCACTCTAATAAAAGAAAGAAAATTTAGAACCCGATGTGTCTGTTTTTAAAAACTGTGGGTCACAGTTACTTTTATTTGCCTGAAACATCTTTCAATCAAACCGTCAGTGGTTCCAAATCAATGTCAAAAACATTATAAAAGCACACTACCTTAGCTAGCTCTGTTTGTATTTCCTCTCTCTCCTCTTCCGAAACACTGTTGTTCAGGTCAACCTCTGCAACCACATCTTCATCTACTTCTTGTAGGGGCTCTGTCTCCAGCAGACCTAACAAACGAGGCAAGAGCAGGAACAAATACACCAGGAAACAGAGCGATGACTATCCATTTCGCACAGCTGGTCGTGGTATAAAAACCTAATCTGATCTCACAAACAGATGCTAGGACACCTAGGATGTACACACAGAGGATAGAGGGCAAGCATACTTTCCACTTTGGTGCTGTCACCCCAGGCTGAGGAAAAGATGAGGCTGGATGAAGACCAGGGAGTATTTATACAGAGAAGAGCGCAACTGCAGCATTAGAAGTTGACCTCTTCTATTAAACATCATTTCCACAAATGCTGATTTTTTATACAGTATATGTTTATCAACAGAAAAAAGTATTTTCCATTCAGATTGAAAGAATGAAACAGCTCTGTAAACATATCACAATCCTGTTTCATGCTGCTTTTTGACTGGCAAAGCAGTAGAATTTGAGCACTGCTTTATAGCTTGTCCATCACTGTGAGAACTGTAATCTTCCTCAGCATGACCTCACTGCATTTTAAATACAGTTCTTTCTGCTTCAAGGCCTCGCAATTATCTGGCTCATTCAACATCTACTGCACCGTCTTTCTGCGATTCAAGTAACCCTGTATTAGTAAATCTATTTTTACATGGATGTAATCCCAGAATACCTTTCACTTCAAAAGTACACATGGCTCATCTAACAGAAATTGTGCTTTTGAGAATGAGAATTATATTAAACCCCAGGCATTCTACTGATGCTTCATTTTTAAATGCCCCCAAGATTCAAGAATTCAGGGAATTCATGTTTTGTGTAGTTTCTGGATTATTTTATTAACTTTATGTTCCATTATACAGTGTATAAGCACTAATCCCCTTTCCCTGTTTCATGGAACACAATCTTGAAATACCATAATAACTACACCTATAACTGCACCTGATACATCATATTACATAATTATTTTTCTCTCTGGGTATAAGCTCAGTTCTTAAAGGTTACAAATAAGCACTTCAGATGTTACCACCAAAAAAACAGTACACATGGAATTTTTTAAGCCAAAAGTCATTCTGGCAGTTAGAGGGGTCTGTCAAATAAGATTTTTGGAGATGTATTTTTTCTATATTATAAAAGCACTAACACACTTTATTTAGAAATTAAAACAAGTCCCAGAGATGACAAATCATACTAAAATGATTATAAAAAGAATCAATCGTCCACATCATTTCAGAGATTATCATTTTCATACTGACCCTGTTAAATCCTACTGCATCTCATTATTTAATGCTAGTAAATTAACTGAAACTAAAGTATTAACAGATGCTGAAATGTGCTTTTGTTCTTGAGAATTAATAGATGAAAGGTCTGATTTTGATCAGCAATCTGGAGGTGCACAATCTATATAAATAACATACTGTAATATATACAAATAATTTTGTTGTTCAATATCAGCTTTGATAAGAATATGAAACCACCAATGGCTGCAGTAACAAGCCTTGTGTACAGAAAGGGAAAGACTGCAAAGCGGAGTTTGCATGAAGCTGATAATCTGGCCTTCAGACCACAGGGGGTCCAGGGGACGTGTAGAGTCAACAAATACAATGTGATCAGTAATTGTGAGCTGTTGGCAGCCTTTTCTGTTTAATGGATGACTACGGTGATTATGTAGGCTTAGGTGATTAGATGTTCAAAGTACAGACTCTTAATTATTAAAAAAACATTCTGTATCTTTAAAGAGAATGAATAATCGTGGTAATTGATTTATAGTATTTATTATTTAAAAAGAACATAGGTCTCATTAAAACTGCCAAAAGCTCCCGAAACTTCTTTGAGTGGATACAGAGCTCAAAAAGAGCTGCATTTAAAAATGTGCTCTCAGTAATAAACTAACTGCTGTCTTTATCCTGCCGGGAGCCCTACTATTAATAAAACCATGAAAAACGTTTCAAGGTCCAGCCTTTTCCACTCCAGCCGATTAAAACAGAAAAAACTCAGATCGTGCGCCATCTAATATATTGTTATGCCTGGAAATTCCTATTATTATATTAAAAACATGACATATGTATTGGGGATAAATAACATACATTATAATTAACAATAAAGTACTGAACAATCTGAAATAATGAAAAGCAAGACATTATAAATAGTCTGAGTCAAATCTAAGGTGCCTCAGGATTATCCACTCGTAACCTTTGTGAATTCTTCTGAATCTGGAAGCATATTTTCTTGTATAACTCATTAGACGTTTTCTCTTGCCTCTCGCAAGCTACACAGATAACTAGGACTATGATTAAAAAATCATACAAGTAAACAGGCTCCTTGTGATGTATTACCGTACCTTGCTTCGAGTGGTACCTTCAAAAAGCTTCAGCAACACATTATTTCTGCATGCATACCTCCAGTACTGCGTATCTGAACCACACAGCAACTCAGCTGTTATTTGCGTGGATTACCAACAAGACATTTCACTCCTGAGTACACTAATTGCAAAACACCCATGGTCAAGCTTCCTTAAATCTAATGACTAATTTTCCTCTGAATCATAACAAATGTCAGATTTAAGTCTTGTACGAAAATGATATGTTATCAAACAAAAGTACACTTTTTTTAGCTGATTTATTTTTAGCTAATTTAACATTGCGGGACCTAACTTTTTATTTTAATGACATTAATAACAGTTCTTCAGGCTTAAGAATTTACAATGAATTATAAAATGTTCAAATGGTAGGGAGAATGTAAAGTTAAAACTTAAAATGTAGAGAACAAACCGAGTCTCTCCTACATTGGTATGCAACACTTTTAATACTACACTTTGTGATGGATTCATGTTTTACATTGGTACTTAACATCAGTGTAGTTTTATAATAATGTTCATGTTGCTCATTAGCTTCCACCTATTAGGAAGTACTTTATAATTTTGGTTATGCTAATGATCTGGATATCCAACCATTAAATTTAATTAAAAGTATGATTCTGTATACATTTTGGGATGTAGAGAAATAAATATTTCCATGCACCTTCATAAACAATTTTTCATTCTTAACCTTAGGACATAAACATGGTATTAATTTGAAAATATGTAGGATAATCATTGTTTTCAAATTAAACAACTTAAACTAAAATTAAACAGCATGAACTGAGAACATAACCACTGTGAAGCAATTGTTCATAATAGTTATTCACTGTTTAGTGCTAAGTGAAAAATAATTCTTGAATGTCTGGTTCCTAGTTCATAAGCAGTGGAATAATGTGATAGGACTCGAAGCATGTGATGATAGCCTAATAATTGCCAGCAGGGATGGAATTTGAATTAAATTTGAATTAGGGGCAGTGCGGTGGCTCTGTGGCTCAGGATCTGCGCCTGTGGCTGGAAGGTTGCTGGTTCGTATCCCGCGGCTGGGGAAAAATACCGCAGACTGGGCAAATGGCACGTTCACATTCTAACGCTGATATCGGAGTGGACAACCTGAGGAAAGCCAGACCGAAGTCCGCTCACAGACACAGATGCCCGGAGTGATATCCAGCGAAAAGAATGGAGGAACGGCAGAAAGCTTACCATTCTATCACTGATATCGGAGAGAGCAAGACCAGGAAGAGCCAGGCACGAGAACCCGCTCCAGACACAGAAGCTCGGAGTGATATCCAGTAATAAGAATAGGCAAGCCAGCTCAACATTCAATCACTGATATCGGAGTGATCTACCCGAGGAAAGCCAGGTACAGGACCCGCTCACAGGCACGGAAGATCGGAGTGATATCCAGTGATTAGAATAGAGGAACTGAAAAAAAAACGGCCCAGAGAACAAGAAAAAAAAAACTGCGGCAAGACAAAAAAAAACGCTGCTCGCGGGGTCAGTAGGTGGCTCAGCATTCTGTCACGGACGTCCAAAGGGACTAACCGTGGGGAGCAGGAGAGCGGAAAAAGACCCATATGCGTAGCGGCGAGACGGGAAAAAGGCCCGGGCTCATTAGTGCAAAGAGTTCAGGAATGCCGTATAGAAACCTATGCCCTCAGGGAGCGGACGTGGGGCGCCGTGGTGCTAGGCGGGTCTCAGGACATCCGACACATCAATGCTGAGCGAGGACAGAGTGCAAGACCCGGAAATATATAGCCCAAGGGAAAGAGAGGGACAGGAAGGACAGCAGACCGGAAACTAGGGACAGGTCAGAGAAGGAGCGCCCTCTGGCTGCAGAGGGCGTGACAACTAGGCTTTGTGGTTACCAAAATGATACTGTATGACAACTACATTCAACTGTTATTACTTCTTTCAGCAACATCCCAAAAGCCCTTCTTTTGTAGTTCTGTATAATTAATAGTATACCACAATACACCTAAGACAGTCACTTTTAATTTCCTGCTGAACTCTTCATACTGTTGGACACTTTGTGGGTTTTCAAATTGCTAATCTATTTCAGAAACATGTTTCCTCTAGAAACCAATCTATGTTTGTACGCCTGATTTAAAAATATGCGGCATCACACACTTAGCTATACTAAGTTCAAGGTTACATCTAGTACTTTTCCTAGAATTTGTGAAATTCATAAGAAACAAGAAAAACTAAAATTACCCAGCAGTCATCCTGTGCAGACCTGAGGCTTCTTTTGTTCAGTCAAATCGCTGATTGAAATACAGTATTTTTGTACTCAATAGAGTTGAAAGCCACTCTGATGTTCTTCCAAAAACTACAATGACACTATAAACACAACACCATAATTTAAAGATTATATCAGAGGGTCTGAAGCAAATTACAGCTTCAGAAAATAGTTAGAAAATGTTTTTATTCATTTGGAACAAAAACGTCTTATTGCTTTGAATTTTATCAAAACAACAAAAAAGGTATATTTACTGAGATACTGCTATATGTTTATTACAGGTGTGGATCAAGAAAATGGTAGAACCTTATATAAATGAAATGCTGTATGTAAAATGATCCACAATGTATCTTGCAATCCATATTGCATGACAATGAAAGATTGTGCCTTTTTAAAAACCCTACACTTGCACCTACAGCAGTTGTCTCCGAACGTTTCTGCAGCAGTTGAA